GTGCCACATTTTAGTTTAGATGTTGTCTTGGTAAACTTAAGCCATTTTCGATATTCCCTTACATAGATGTGTAACTGCTGGCCTGTATGCAGGACGACTCGCAGTGTTATCTATTCTGGAGCTATGTCTGTTTACTTAACTACATTCAATGTGACTTATTTTGAGGAAATTCATACCTACATATTAAGTGTCAAAAGTGCTTCAGCATTAAGAATTATATAGAAATATGGATTTACAGATTCTCCTCTTTCAATACAAAGTCTGAGTATTTGATGTCAAAGGAAACTCAGAAGGCATGCATGTGTGGCCAGCGGCAACTGAGGCACAGACAGACAGACAGACAGACAGACAGAGGCTCTCGCAAATATATTTGTAAGAAGAATCCACTGCACTGACTTTCACACACAGACGAGTGTCAAACTTGGGTTTGAGGTTTCATTGAAAGTGAAATGGCATTAAAATTTATCATGTCCCCCTGACAAAGAGCGGTTTTCCATGGTGGATCTGGTGTCAGTTTTTTCCAATTGTAGGGTATAATTACTGACCATGCAGAGAGAGAGCAGCAGAGTGCTTGTTTACTTATTGATGGTAAGCCCGGCATTGGGACACTGCACATAAAACGAGGATAAATGGCCCTGAACATCCAGCTGGTGGTAAAAGACAGCATGTGGTCACCTGTCTTGCTCACCTGTCTTTTTTTTAATATATATATATCTCTGCCTGACAAGACAGCTGACACATTTCTATCTCTGTCTCCTTACTTCCTTTGCTGCACACCTGAGGTGAAGCAGATTGAGTTACACTGACCTCCTACAATATGCCTTTTTTCACAAACTCTTTTCCTCCTAGCCAATCTCCTCCCCTGTTTTTTTTCTCTCTCTCTCTCTCTCTCTCTCTCTCTCTCTCTCTCTCTCTCTCTATCTCTCTCTTGCCTCCCTCTCTCTCTGCAGCCTATTTTGTGAACCAGAAAGTGGGGGCTGATTGGGTTTCTCTCCTCAGCAGACTGGTTTATGTGTTCCTGTCTCCCTCCCAGTGGCCTAGACTGAGGCAGGGTCAGGTTGCTCTGAGCCAGCACCATTCAGTCCCAGTCACAGATGACAAAACCTAAAGAGCTAATGGCTCCTCCTGACAATATTTCATATCCTATTTTATATCATTTTTAAACATGTGTGCTTCCTCATGTTGGAATCAGTCCAGCTAAGCTACAGGTGTGCTCACAGACTATTCTCTGTAAAGCACTTTGAATTATATTTAGTATGAAAAGCGCTTTATAAATAAAGATTGATTGATTGATTGATTGATATTCATGATGGGTTACAACCTGTGGCCACATGAGCTCTGTTGCAGCACCTGACCATTCAGTGTGTCTATGGCAGCCCCACTGACTGTAATTATCTGTAATTATCTCCTTTGTGTGCAGCCTGCCTGTATTTGATGTTTGTTGCAGTGATTCCTTATCTTATTATTTATCAAACGCCTGTTTTATTTTAATGTGTTTCTTCCTCCAAGACTGTCTGTAATCACTGGGTTAACCTCTGACCTCTGCCTTTATCAAACAACATGCCTATTAATGAGACAGATTTAGAGGGCCTCAATTAGAGGCCCACGTTTCTCTGTATTCAGTATGAAATTAATGAAATTTCACAGTGCTTGTGCTCCCAAAAGCATATGTGCACATTTAAATGACATAAATCTAGTTTGTATTTGCACAATGAATCATTTGTGACCTCCTCTTTCTTATATAAACGATATTGTGTGTCTCAATCAAAAATGCTTTCTTCAAGTTTCCTTCCTAGATTTATCTTAGCTGACAGATTGGATTAATATTTTAAAGGGAGGATCTTGTAATCCCAGCAGAGACATGTGCATTACAGCAGCTAGAGTGAGCTGCCAACAAAATCTGATCTTCACCTTTTTTTTTCTGGTGTTTTCCTGCTAAAACGTGAAGCTCCCACACGTGTTGCAAAAAAAACATGTCAAAAGCTCATCCTGCAGGTTTTATTAGATCTCCTACACCATTCAAGCTCCTGTGCAGTGCGCATTTCATTTCCGACCCCTGCTTAGTTTTCCTGAAACTGGACGCCGGGGCTGATGAATAAAACATCCTTTGTGTGCTGCTGGCTGATCACTGGAGCCCTTTCAGCTGTATAAGTGGTGAAAGGCGACATAATCTCCCTCCACAACAAGATCTGGACTGAGATTGAGAGACGCGCACACAGGACGCGGACATTGTCAGGAGAAGCACCACCACAAAAAGCCCTTTTGGGAGCAGCATGTTAAAACCGCAGCAGCACGGTGAGCTCCTGCTGCACGACTCCCCGCCGGTGTTTGGGAAGCCGTGGTACTGGCAGCGCAGCAGCAGTACCATGGAGAGCACCCGCAGCCTGGCGCAGGTCATCATGGAGATGCGCGATGAAATCAAGAAGCTGGAGGCGGAGAACCGGGAGCTGCGGGGAGACTGTGGCCGGCGTTCATTTGGGGCCGTGCCAGGAGAAGCCGGCCCGGTGTCTACGGCAGCAAAACAGCAGGCTGGAGTGGAGGACAATCCGTACGTGAACCTGAGACGAAATGCGTCTGCGCCGGTCCTGGAGGGACAGTACAAGGGTAAGAGGGCCTGTCGGAGGGTAGGGTGCTGTAGCTATTTTACTCATCAACAGCACTAAGCTAAAGATACAAGCATCTGATAAACTAGTATGAAGAGTTCATTTGCTAAAACAGATAATTCCATGTTTGTAGATTTTCAGAAAATGTATTTTTTTTGTTGTTTGCTTGAGATAATATAAACTGAAGTTGAGTGGATTTGGCTCAGTAGAAATGACATGAGAAAAATAGAGATAACTTAAGTTTGATTGATATTGTCTCAGCTGGACGATGAAAAAGTGGGTTTTCTGAAGGTTTGTGAAGAAGGAGTTATCTGTTTTCGCAAATGAACTTTTCATATGTTGTTCTAATCCAAGAAGACATCCACAAGTAGAACTTCTCATGACAACTAAACTGATCTCCATGTGTATGATTGGTGGGACATTTTTTAAAAAGAATGCATGCAAAATGTGAAAAAGTGCAACAAAACAATGCATTTATTGGCCCGAACACGTTAAGTATGATGCACATGAGAGAATCTCCTGAGTGTTTTCTCTTCATCTCTCTCTCTGCTCTGTGAAAGCAAACCCAGTTCTTCATGATCTTTTCTTTCCACAGAGACCACTGTCATGACTGTCCGGAGATATTCCACCAGCTCCAGCCTGTCAGGAGTGACCATGAGAGAGGGGAGAGCTGACAGGAGCAGGCGCGCAAACTCTGGATGGGGACGACTACAAGAAGAAATCCAGCACGGGAACGATGTCTTTGGTAACTCAGCCAGTGGAGAAGTTGGAAAAGTTACCAACCGGCACTCCCTGCAAGAATACGTCCACAAAACCAGGTACAGACAGATACTTAAAATCCTAAAAATGTAGCCTTACAGCAACACCATTGAATAGTATGGTTTAAATTTATGAAATGAGGCTTTGTTTTCTCTCACTAGACTCATAATTCTGTCTCTGCACCTTCAGGGCCAAAGTAAAAACCGTCACCTTCCTCCTACCTGTGGATGACATTTACACCAGCAGGCCGGTTCTGTCCAAACACCAGGAGGAGCCTGAAATACCTGACCTGGCTTCAATAACTGAAACCGACTCTTGAGGGACAACTGTTAAAGACTTTGGATGTGGCCACGAGACAAAGTGCAGACTTGAACTGAGCCTCTGTGGCCAGAGACAGGTTAAGCCTCTTCATCTAGGTCAGTACAGAATGGGCTCTTAATGAGTGAGCCAGCAGACCGATTTTATCACACCTGACCACACAAACACAGGACTCTGGTTACAGGTGTTGTTTTCATCTGGCCACGGCAATCCGGGCCCGGTCAACGGTGATGAGACACGGGCCCCTCTGCAGCGAGGATCGGGTGTCTGAACTCTTCTCCCGACCCGGGGTGTCGTTTCGGAGTGACACACACACCTGCAGGTGGCGGCCCTTTTACGGACACTTGTGGTCGCTGAGTCAGGCCTCGTGAGCAACTTCAGATTCATTATTTATTCATCTTTGTTTTTGCAAACTGAAAATGGTAGTCAAGGGGTCACACGAAGATGTGACACGTGTCTTGACAGTGTTCCTAAAGAGTGTATTTTTTTAGTCCATGTCTTCTCTATCTAAACCAGTGTTTGGCATATCTATATCACATTTAAAGTCTGTAACAGTAATTGCAAGGTATTACCTGTGATAAATGCAGTGTTATGTATTGTTTTGAGCATTTAAAAAAAGCACATTAAGTGTTACTGTTATATCCCTTCATCTGTTTTACATGGACAAAGAGTACCAGTAATATCATGTTGACTGTAAGAGTTCACAGCTGGACATAAAGATGCACTTTGAGTTGTGAAAACAAATTTAACTTGTAGTTCACACATGTAAAATGTAGCCTTTTTAGCTTCAGGTTTGCTGCAATATGCATTTCTCAGTGTTTTGACGTTAACTCAGGAGCCCGAACACTCAGAAAGTCTCTAGCCAAAATGTTTGCCCTTGTTTCTCCTCAGCATTTTAAAAAGAAATAAAAATACAGCAAATGAACTTCAAAGAGAGCTTATCACTTTGTCCCCTGGCTCCAAACTAGTTGGATACACGTAGATGGTTTTAATGTAACAGTGAGCACAATAAAAATTATGAGATGAGAACATTTTCCCTAATAGGGAAAATGCAGTGATCATTTAATGTGTTACAAATGAGCTACAAACAAACCGTATACTGTCAACCTGAACCTGAATTTCATGTTTGATCTGTTACATCCAGTGTTTCAAACATTTACTCAAGAGGACCGTTGACAATGCAGAGAATCTAGCTCACTGATGTAATACAGAGAAAGATATCGACAACAAAGCTGCAGCAGTGGCACCAGTTAAATTCGCTCCACCCCGTTTGATAAATCATTCATAGTCAATCAGCCATTAAGCACGTTAGTTACCAGCTCAGAGGAGCACGCACAACTTGGTTTGGGTGTGTTTGCTTTCATTGTTGGTCTTCCTAGAAGCAGCACTAAAGTGTTGTTCCACTGTGTCCACACGGCTGTCGCCATCTAATCCGTCCACATTTTCCTCTGTGTAGTTGATTTCTGTTTTGCCAAATTCATCTTTATCTTTGAACTGTTCTCGAGCCTCATCCTCTGATTGATCATCGGTGTGCAGGCTTCCGTAGCTCTCTGAGTCGCGGGGTTTGATAGCCGGGCAGGTCTGGGGATCAGACATATGTGATGTTGGCAGAGGTTCACTCAGACCGTCTCCATATGTCATCGGGATCAAGGAAAGTTCATCTCTGTGCTGCTTCTGTAAAGCTACAACAGAGGAAAAGAGATGGAAACAGATCCGTGTGTTGCCTATACACGTTCAAAATCAAACAATCGTCAATTAAAAATCATGTTCACTGATTTAAAGGACACACAACAAACCGCCACATGCATAATTAGAAGAAATTATCAGACAGCGAACAGGCCTGGTTTGTGGATACCTGGCCGGTAGCTCCTCTGACTGTTCCACTGTCCGTCACAGAGACCCATAATCTGCTGCTCGCTGACTCCTGAGTTCCCTTCAAGAAAGTAAGTGGTCATCCTGCCCTTCCCCTTCACCTCGATCTCTCCTCGCTTCTGGATAACAAAGCATTTATTCTTCAGGGCCCTGAGAAACACAGAGAGAACATAAGTGAAATAAATGACGTTACAGATGTCATGCCAGCGTGTATGGATGCATGCTTCTCTTATACATGGATGCTTGTTCCCTCACTGGTAGACAGTTGGGCTCAGGTGGATCTTGTTTGGGAGGCCGTGACTCTCCATGCGGGAAGCAGTGTTGACGGTGTCTCCAAACAGACAGTAGCGAGGCATTTTCTCTCCAACCACACCTGCCAGAACTGGACCGCTGTGGAGACCCACACGGATCTACAGAAATACAAAACACGGATCAGCTTAAAATCGAAAATAAGTTTGGTTTAAAAGTAGACATAGCATATACACATTTTTAACATAGACATGTTTTTGTAAAAAAACAAAACGAAAAAAACTCAATTCGAAAATGTGTTTTGGTCATTGTTACCTCTTTTGGATATTTGACCATAGCTGTAGTGTGTGACTTGGACACTAGAAAACAGTTTTAAAAGTCTGCTGCTGAAAATGGAACGTTTCTCTGAGACTTCTCTATACTTTCCTGCACAATCTTAAAGCCTGCATGTCACACATCATAAGAACGATCCAGCAAATAAATGTTTGAGACAAAGATTATTGGCAAAGTCAAAAAATCTGCATTTTTCATTGAAGGAGACATAGATGTAATTTAAAGGATTTCCAACCAGGCAGTGGCACTCATCGCATAGCATATACCAGATACTAATTATCAGTTAAGAAATTGTGTACATCTATATACGTCTTGTTACCATGTCACACTATAAAAAAACACAAGCATAGGGCCTACAAGATTTTGCCGAAGTACAAGAACTAAAGTACAGTATTTATTAGAATTATCAAAAATTAAAGTAGCTGTTATGCACAATAGTACCTAATAATGTTTGTCTAATTTGTGAAATAATTAGCTCCAACTACTGCAGGAGCTGCTTACTAACAAATAATAATATGCTGGGGAGAATCTGATCACATGTTTTGTGTGTAAAATCTTAGTCTGCAAAGCATCTATTAGTTATATTTTGTCAAATACAGGCAGTGGATTAAAAAGTACAATCTTTCCCTCTCAAGTGTAATTTACTACAAGTATAAGGGAATACTCAAGCTGAAGTTTGTACTTAAATGCCGTATTTGTGTGAGTGTACTGATAAATATAAACACAAATGCAGCACACACACCTGAATGGGTCCTCCTGTCACAGGGTTAATAACCTCTCGTGCAGCCAGAATCATACCCAGGGCAAAGTTAGCGACCCTCTCAGCGTGGCTGGAGACGGGTATGGGAACACCGCCTACCACCATGTAGGCATCCCCTATGGTCTCAACCTGAAAACAGCAAATAAACACACAGTTGGTGTCAAGTTCAGACAAACCACATGATTAAAAAAAATATATATAAAAATGAATGTTTCTTCCTTTCATCTCAAGTCAATAATAGATATAAAAAGGTGATATTTTGGGTGTTTACCTTGTAGACATTGTGCACAGTGGTCAGTCGGTCAAACCGGAGGTACATGGAGTTGAGCATGAGGACGATTTGAATGGGTTCACACATGGAGCAGATATTAGTGAAGGTCACTACATCACTGAACAGAATGGTGCACTCTTTGAATTCTCCTTTGGGGTGCACACACACATACACAAAAACACTCATCACACTCACACACATCAGAAAAGCACAAACTGTCTGATTATTCACTTGTTATATTATTTGCATTTCATTAACCTGCTTCTACTGTCTTGCCCTCTTTCAGCTGGTTGGCTACATGTTTGGGCAACATGGCATAAAGCAAGTTCTCCGTCTTCCTCCTCTCCTCCTCCAGGTGCTGGGACAAGAGGCGGAGCTCTTCCTTCTTCCTCTCCAGCTGGTTTGACAGCTCCATCTCAGCCAGCCGCTGCTGATTGAGCAGGATAAGGTCGCGGGTGACATCATGAGGTGCGATGTCAGAAATGTGCATGTCCCTCTCCTCCAACTCCTGAAGGCTTCTCAGCAGAGGTGAGGCTTGATAGAGCATGCAGTCCAGAGAGGGCATCCAGATCATCTGACCTGAAGACAAAGTATATAAGATTTAAAGATTTAAAAGTTTCTGATGACAAAAAACAAACAGAAAATAATGTAGATTGGATGCATTTTTTGTTGTTCTCTACCTCTGAGCTGCAACATAGGCCGGTCCTTCCACCCCTGAGGCATCATGTCCCTGCGGGTCTGCAGGACAAAGTGGCTGTTGATGAACTTCCTGATGCTGGAGATGGTAAAAGTGACCTCGGGATGCACAATGCTGAAGTACTCGTCCAGATGGATGCTCATAGTCTGGAGCCCAGGGACAATCCTCTGGAGCTTCACTCCAGCCTGGTGAACCACCAGCTGCCTCAGACAACACCAGGAACACACCAGTTAATTTAATGTGATCCAATTACTCATAATTAAAAGTTGATTCAAAATATTCTTGGATGCATTTCTATAGAGAGATGACTATTAACAAATCTCTGTTTTTTTTATAGGTCTGTATTTGTACATTTTACCTGCTCATCAAAGACTATATGAAAAGGAAAAGCATGACAGAAGGTCTTCAGATCGATGTAGAGGGTGGCAGGATACACTGGTTCAAAGCCCTTCAGTAGTTTGCCTGTATGGTGACACAAAAGGGGGTAAATATTTGCCGCCATATATAAAGAGCCTATGAAAAGTATTCATCCTGCCTGGAAGTTTTCTCCTTTTATTGCCTTTCAGCATTGAATCATGGTCAATTTGTTTTGGACAAGAATTTACAAAATAAGACTTTTTGGGAGAGTGGCAAGAGCAAGCCAAGGACTGTTGGAAAATTTTTGACAAGAATTTGCCAGATGTCATATGGAAGAAGTCTGAAGGCAGTTGGAAAAAATGGAGCTTTTTAAACCATCAGACCAGATGCTATGGTTGGTGGACACCAAACACCACACATTATCATGAACACACCATCTCTGCATGGTGGTGGCAGCATCATGATGTGGGGTTGCCTTTCAGCAGCAGCAGGCCCTGGATGCTTGTAAGGTAGACAGTGAAATGAAAGCAGTATAGTCTAGGGAAATATTTGAGGATGACTTGATGCAGTCTGCAAAAAAAGAACTGCAAAGATTTTTCTTCCAACATGATGGCCCAAAGCATACAGTCAGAACTACACGGAAATGGCACACAACAAGGTTTCAGAGTGACCAAGTCAGAGCACAGATCTCAATCCAATTGATCACTCACAATTGCTGTGCAACATGACAATACTTTGGGTAAAACTGAGTCCAGATATGACAGGCCCAATGCTGTAATTGCAGCCAAAGAAGCATCTACTAAATACTGACCTCAAGGGGGTAAATACTTATGCAGTTGGTTATTTTATGTCATTAACTGACATTGCTTTGCTTTTATGGTTTTCACTTAAAAGTCTTTTTTTTTTGAGAAATTCTTTAAAAAAAGAAAAAAAAAGAAAGCCAAACTCTGTTGACTATGATTCAGTGTTGCAAAGCAATAAAAGGGGAGAACATCCAGTATTTTTTATATGCACTGTAACTAAAGATGCACATGTACAGGTGTCTTGTTTTAAGCCAGTTGCTCCGTGGTTTATATGTATATTTATGTCTGTACCTTTTCCATGGTGAAGCAACTCCTTAATTGTCTCCCAGCGACTCCTGTGCACAGGGAAGCTGCTGCTGGATCTGTTTTGATGAGGAGGCTGAGGACAAAAAAAAGGGAATGTCATGTACATCGTGGTTGCTTATTTTGTCCACTGTAGCCTCTACACATTTTACATGATGCTTTACAAAACAAAGTTGTTTTACATACAGAGCTTGTAACACAGATGATCAATCTAACCTCTTTGGTCCAGATCGTGGTATTGTGTCTGCTACCCAAAGGCTGCAGGGACTGGGCTCCCAGTGAAGCTTTGCTGCTGACAACACTGGACCCAGCAGCAACAGCTGGCCACTGTGTCACCAGGAAAACCACATGCTCTTTCTTCCCAGTTCTCTCCAGCTCCTCTATCTGGCTGACAACCTCCATTGTTATCTCTCTGTTGAAAAAATCTTTAGCAACTGCTCCAATAATACCTGTAACACAGAGGGATGTCACACACTCAGTTTCATTTGTTGAAAGTGTGAGTAAAGCAGTGGCCTAAGTATGAGATCAATGCAAACGGATAAGACAGATAAAAGCAGTAATTCTGGGTAATATTTCATCACCAGGAACAATGTGGCAGAGTCCTGTGCGGTCTGAATAATAATGGAGAAGCATGGTGCCATCAAGGTTTCTCTCCACCCGAAACGATGGCGCGTTCATCTCCTGCAGTAATCAAAGGAAGAATTAAAAGATAAAAGAAAAAGCAAGACAGTAACGTGAACAGACATGGGAGCAGGTACCTTGTAGGAGAGGGCGAGGTAGCTGTGAAGTGCATCCAGATTCTCAGTAAATTCAAACAGATTTCCTCCTAAAGTCCGCAGCATGTGATCGTATCCGGAGCGTTTGCAGAACTCAAAGAAATATTCACCGAACTGCCTCCAGACGACCTCTGGCTTCACTCCTGCCCAGACAGGGACATATTTAAAACTACACCAAGATTTCCGACTTGACAGACGTGACTACAAGTGTTACCTAAGAGCTTGCAGGCTTCTGTTACTAACTGCATGGTGATTTCGTCTTCATAGACTTCATATGTGAGGAAAGCATCCCTGACTCCAGCTTCATCCCTGCGCACGACGGTGATGATTGAGGAATAACAGAGTGGATTTGTTGCTCTTGTGAGGACAACACGTCAATCTGAGATTATCTAAACATATTACGGCTTTGAAAAGTTCATGCAATCTATCAGCAAAGATTTAATTTTTTTCGATCAAGATTAAAATCTGTCAATAAAGTGAATTTTCTTTTACCTGAGCTTGATCCACGTCTCCTCACCAAACTTTTCTACTACCAGCGATTTCAAACAGGTGTTGATAAATCCATACTGTCGGGAATAAAAAAGGAACCATGGAATAGAATTTAATTCGGGTGATGCAAGTCACACCATTTGCAAAAAAAAAAAACATTTGTAAAAGCAGCATACCATATCTCTCTCAGTTTGTCCATCAGTCACGTTGCTCTTCTTTTTTTTTTTTTCCAGACACAAATCTTTGGCTCTAATTAGTCTTTATGCGAAAACAAGTCCAGATCCACCGAAAAGAAAATCCGAGCTTCTGGTCTGCAGCTGTGTGGAGACTCTCTGGAGGACTCTTGATGTGAAAGGAGCTCTTCAGTCCAGCCTGGTGCTGAAATCAACAACTACAAATGTATTCATACCCTCCCATTAAAGAAAAGGCAAAATTCACAACAGTCACTCAAATATCTAGAAACTGAAAAAAGTAATAATAAATAAAACATTGCTAAATTATAATTTAGTCAAATAAGACATTGCTTTTGAATTGTGATTGAAAAGAATCATTTAAAAAACAAACACTGTCTAGGACAAATTAGAGCACTTTGCTGATGAGCAGTGGGCCAAAATCAAACTACCTGTCAACAGGTGCAGAAGTCTGATTGAAAGTTACAGAAAACACTTGCTGTGAATACATTTGAGGACGAGTGTGCAGCTTTACTTAGCAGGGACAAGCTCAGGCTCTATCCAATGTGTGCATGAGGAGTTAAGAAATAACCCATGATTGATGCAGGATATCAAGAAAAACAGTCCCATGGTCACCCATTTGACATTTTCCCATATTTGAGAAGCTGAGATCAACATTTTCTGCATTAAAATGTGCATTCTCATTGACATTATGATTAAAAAAACAAAAACATAAGTATAATTAATGTTAATTTATGTATTTTAAAAATGCAGATAATCTTACAAACAAATATAAAGCTTCTGTTATAGGATCACATGCGATTAATAAAAAATATACTATAAAATACTGATAATTCATCAAAGAAGTTCATGAAGTAGAACAGAATGTCATTGTATGGTATATATGAAGTTAAGCAGCAATCCTGGCAGTGTATTCACACAGACAATGCTAAGAAAAGTGCAAATATTAAAATTATAAAATAGAAGAATAGTACATAAAAGTGTAATCTATAGCAGCAGTGAACGAAGCCTCTCTGCTATTTCAAGTCTTCTCTTGGTTGATAGCGACATTACTAGTATTTACATTTCACTGAAATCCTTTTACAGGTCTGAGGAAATCTAAAGATGTGGTTTTTAACAGTACAAATAAGCTTCTGTATTTATTTTACATGGATATACTTGTGAAAGGGTAATCCATTAGTTTCAACAACAACTAAAAACTTTTTAATAATATGTAGAAGTGTCAGGAAGAACTTTGCTAAGATTTTTGATGAAGTATGTACACCATCATTCAATACAGTGACATAACAGCTAACTGGCAGTAAAAATGGATTATGATACGATTAGATTTTCAGTCTAAAAGTCAGTCTAAGTAGCTGACTCTATGCATTGGCCAATGTTAACCTGCTACCAGCTGCCCCACTAGCTTGAATTTGTTCAATTCAGTCGACTAAACATCACTGCTGATTTAAAAATGTCTTTGTCACAAATGTACCACCTATGCAGTTATAGTGAAGTAAAATTCATAGATTACCTGGAAATAATCAAATCATAAAATAAAATAAAATAAAAATAATAGTAATTGTAATTTTAAAAAAAATCAAAGCCAATTTCTGGGTGTGTTAACACTTAAGTTGCAGTTAAAGCAAGAGCAACATTCAATTTTGTAATTGAAGCTAATCCTGAGCATAATTAAAGTACTCAGGTTTAGATGAACAAAGCTGTAGTTCAACAAGATTTAATACCCACTAAAGAATGCTTCTTTTGTACATGTTAAATTGATATTCATATAGATTTAATTTTTTCAGTGGAAAATAGCCATTGCTAAGACGACTATAACAGTCTTTTTTTTGTTCCAAGGTGAATTAGAGGCTTGTTTGAAAGTAAAAAGTCTTCTGTGTAACGGTATACTAACGCCTAATACAGCCGACATTTATTGAGAATATATTGTGATTTCATTGAAGTCTGATGCCTGCTGACGTCATGACGCCGGCATCAAAAGTAGATGAGACAAATCTGTCCAAGAGGAAACCAAACAGAAGCAGCTCAAACACAGTGCACAATATATCAGTGGAAAATCAAGCCAATGCTCCACTCATAAGCAAACATAAATACTTTATTTCTCAAAGTTTTCACTCAAATCTGGGTTACGTATGTTTCTCAGAAATAATTTACAGTATTTGTAGAAATAATTATAATGTATATAAATATTGTGATCATCACATGTGTACGTAGAAATAGTTTGGAATGTGACACATAGGATGGACCGAGTCATAGAATAACCAATATGACAGCACAGTAAGTGTATTTTTTTTAGGTCCTTTAGCACATTAGGCTAATAACATTTTTGGAAAACACTCAGCTGCCAAATTAATAAGAACAAGATTGTTGTATTACCTCAGATTGGCTTAGCTTAGGTGTGCCAAGTAAACTGCAAACTGAGTATACATACCAAAGTAGTTCATCTCTGCAGTTTCTCTACACTGGCAATGACTGTCAGATCCTCATTATTAATGCGTATGAAATTTCCACCCATCCATCCATTATCTATACACCGCTTAATCCTCACTAGGGTCACGGAGGGCTGGAGTCTATCCCAGCTGACTTAGGGTGAAGGCAGGGGACACCCTGGACAGGTCACCAGTCTATCACAGGGCTACACTTAGAGACAGACAACCAAGCACACTCACATTCACACCTACGGACAATTTAGAATCACCAATTAACCTCAACATGTTTTTGGACTGTGGGAGGAAGTCAGAGAACCCACGCTGCACGGGGAGAACATGCAAACTCCACGCAAAAAGATCCCGGGTCTCCTTACCAGGACATGAACTGGCGGCCTTCTTGCTGCGAGGCAACAGTGCTAACCACCAAGCCGCCTTGCAGCCCCGCATGAAATTTGAAAATCAAATAATACAATCCAGGAATATTTTAGTATGATGTGATTTTGGCTTCCTTTAAAAAATGTTTTTCTTTTGTCCTCAGGAAACTACTATGTCTAATTGTGTTTTAATCATCTGAGACTAGAAAATTATGCTCAAAATAAAACTGTCACCGCTTGTAGGATTTTAGATTCTACAGTTATCTGTTAACAAATCAGACATTATTTGTAGAGCACCTTTCACACAGGTTTGTGCAGTTCAAAGTGCTTCACAGATGACTGACAAGCTGACAATGCAGACCAGATGTATGAGTAGACCACAATAGAGTAAAAAACAAAAGAACTCAAACATACAAACAAAAGAATTACTTAACTAAGCTTTTGCGCCCTCTGCTGGTAAAAAAAAAAAAAAACAAACAAACAAACAAACAAAAAAAAAACAAGATTGTGAGTTGTAGCAGATATTTGAGTTGGTATGTTTCACAAACAAAAAAGGCCTTTTAACGGTAGCTGTAAAGAATAAATTAAGTATCATCTAACTGTCTCTTTGTCTGTAAAATATTTGGATTTATTCTCATTAGACACTGAGATGACTAATAGAAAAAAAAAGCACATAACTTTGATAAAATTTACTTTGGGTTGATCAGTAGAGAAAACTTAGGTCTGACACGAAACACACAGTCTTTTTAGATGTTCCAATAATATTTTTTTAAAAATAACAAAAACCAAAAAAACCCCTCATGGGGTCATAGGTCATATGGTCACAAATGTGATGAAGAAGATGCTTGAGTATCACAGTTTTTTCTTCCCAATCAGTGGCTGTTTTAGTGTAAATGGCCAGAGGTACGTAGCACCAACAGGAGGAATCTACTGTCCCGGTGAGTTTCAGGTCCGTAATGAAGTTTGCAGAGCCTTCATGTCCCTCAGCAGCCTCAGATTCCTCTTGCTTCTCTCTCCTGGTCTAACTTTAACTGCTCCCGCAGAGCGACCTCTAGTGGACACTGTGGTACAAACTCTCACCTCATTTCTACTGTTCTGCCTGGAATTCACGTCCTTTCTTAACTTTTTTATCTAGAGGAAAGACAAGAGAAGGTAAAAGACAGGAGCTACAAAAGAAAAGAGAATCCTAGGTTTGCAGTTTGGCCGTGTGTGAGCTTGACCTACCTGGGATTTGTGTTTGTAGAGCTTACTGATCTGCTCTCCTTTCCTCTCCATTTTCATCAACAGCCTCTCCTGCTCCCTCCGAAGTTCTTTTCTTTCCTGCTCAAACACGCTGTCCTCCAGCTGCCTCATCAACACATCCTGCTCCCTGCAAAACACACCGAGAATAAAACTCAACACAATTCATAAACTTAGTATGTGACTCCTGACTTAAGCCCAACTAGACTTACAAGCTCATGAGTCGCAGCTCGTCCTGCAGGGCTTGTAGCAGCTCTGACAGTTCATCGCCACCAGTCGAGGAGGAAGAAGAGGAACTGTCTGACTGAGAGCTGTCTGTGTTGTGAGAGAGGACACGGCTGTTGCAGAGGTGCGGCTGGTGTTGCTTCAGGAGAGACAAAACTGACTGGACGTTGGCTCTGACTGAGTGGCTGCAGCCTACCGACTGAAACCCAGGCAGGAGGGAAGAGAGCCAGAGTAAGGTAAGTATTACAATAAAAACAACAAACTAACAGTACATGCATCTATGCCAACAATACCGTTCCAGCAACAAAAGGCACATCTCTGAGGCTCAGTCTGTAGTGTGGCTGTGTGTAGGATGGTGGCTGTGGTGAGGATTTCTGGAAAGACACAAATCAACATCAACAATGGTTAGATCCACAAGACAATACAAGGGCTAAAGATTGTTTTTTTTTAATCATTAGTTAATCTATCAAATTCATTGATTTTGTATAAATTATTTAACAGAATAGTTTTGTCACTCCACATCCATAAAATATAAATTTTATGACAACATCAAGCATATTTAAAACGGTCTCATCTAATAAGTTCAATGCCTTTTGAGAGCGAAAACGGAAGAAGATGGACTCTTGATGATTTAATGCTATTTTAACACTTTCTCTTGCTTTCCTCATAGCTAAACTCATTCTAATTATTATTATTATTATCACTGTAGAGGAGCATGCAACTGCAGCTGTCTTGCCACATTTGTTGAAAATCTACTTAAAAAGAGGAAAGAAAAAAATCTTAGTGGACTCAAACAGGAGTAAAATCCTGACCCACCCCTGTAAATGTCCTTACTTTTGAACTGGACTTCTTCTCTTTGGATTGTCTGTTGGACAGGCAAGGTGACACAGACTTGAGCAAAATCCTGTTGGCCTCCAAACCTGTCTGTAGCTGAGAGTTGCAAAAAACAAAATAAAACTACAAAAAAATGTGCGTAAAACAAGCTTCTTTTTCAGATATAGCAAATATTACAAGCTGCCAGTAGTGAGATAACTGGAACACAAGCAGGTTTTGTTACCTGGTTGGCCTTATCCTGGACCAGCTTTCTCTGGTGCTCCTCCTCTTGTAGTTTCATCTCCAGCTCATGAATCTTCATCTGACATATTCACATGTACACAGTCATGATGATGGTGTTAAAACAATGTGAATGAAAATGCAACCTATTTTCACTTGTTACTGCTGACTTGCGATTAAAACATGGGCTTGTCTTTTACCATTATTCCTGCAATTCAGGTCATACATTGGAAATACATCCAAGATAAATATGTCAATTTTGAATGTGTAATTTAAGTTCTATTCAGTCTATGACAACCTCTTTAGATAACACCTTTAGAACAAATCAGGTGTCTGCTTGTGACCCCATCTGATTTAAAGTCCTTTGTTTATAAAGATAGTTTTCTATTTCATGGTATATTAAGATTGTAGGTATGCAAGTAATTTTGCAAACTGGATTTTTTTTTTACATTATTGATTTTCTACATCTTTGCACACTGCATATCTTCTATATTGTCAATTTTGCACATTACATATTACAAATATTTGTATTACTTCGCTGCAAGTCTTCAGCACATTGTAGGACTTCAGTGTTACACATGTTTTCTAGAGTGTGACTGCATCTATCTATCTATCTATCTATCTATCTATCTATCTATCTATCTATCTATCTATCTATCTATCTATCTGTGCTATTGTCATCACCATTGCAAATATGCTTTTATACGGCAATATGCTCTTCCTTATGACAGTCGGCAGAGCATAGCATCTCGGCAACTACGTAGTTAATGTTAGCACGTGCTCTTTCATGATTTCTTTAACTGACATACTGATGTGTTGTTATTTCTACCTCAGCACTGTTCTGTGTGCGTGTCAGCCTGAGGTACTCCTGTTCAAGTCGCTCCAGTTTCTCTAACTGAGCATGCTCAGACACTGTGTCAGCGTGGGGATCGGCTGATTTCTCCACGGAGGCCTGAAAAGGTGGAGAGCAGTTAATACTTTTTCTACGTGTCTACTTGCTCACACTTAAGAGTTATTTAGTATTTTTAAGCAAAGTGGAAGCTATGACTCTGGATTAACCTGCTGTTTGAGCAGGCTGGACCTCTCTGTCCTGGCATTGCGTAACATCCTCCTCATGTGATCCAGCTGTCGCTCCAGCTTTACACAGCGAGACTCTGCAGCAGCAAGGTGGGTGATCAACACTACAAAGAGAGTGAAGGTACACCGTGATGAGAAAATAGATAAGGGTTGAAACATAAGATAGTAAAAATGGACAGATGTAGGACAAAACTCAATGAAAAAATTCTTAAATCATTATCACATTATTCATATCCTCACCTTGGTTGCAGTTGGATCGGCTACTCATCTCTCTTTCTGTGTCTGTTGGACTATTTATGAGTCTCTGGGTAACTTTCTCATTCTGCAGAAAAGAGTGTGATGCTTCTTTTCCCACAGAACGCAGACCGAGCTCTGCATGGCCTTTCTCCAACTCCAACCTCCTGATCTTCTCCTGGAGATTCCTCAGGGCAGATAAGATTGCTGCACAGGCAAATAGATCACATGTAAGAGATAAAAGAGGCCTGTGGGGAAACACTGATGAATTTCAAACATATCTGGTAAATAGTAACAGGCGTAACGTGAGATATTTTTGACCTTTCAATGAAAGAGGAAGTAAGGAGGGTAGGAGCTCAGAGAGGAGGATGTGGAAGAATGAATAGATGTTGATGCAGCTGAGACATCCAAGTGGTGCGGTATCATGTTGCACATGTAACCATGGAGCTCTGAAACACCACAATACCAGAATGGAAACTTAGTAGTTGGAAAACAACCCACACATTAAATGTACCTGCACTGCTGGTCTCTGGGAAGGCTTTGCTGGGTGATGGTGGACGACAGGAGTGGTGTGTGCGTGTTTGGGGTGTGTGATGCACAAGTGTGTTGATGAAGGGCCGGTGAGCAGGGTAGTCTTTGTAAGATGCCAGGGACAGGCTCTCAGACACGACTCCGTTGGCTTTTGGTGGTGGACAGGGTTCCTGCAGAGAAACAGGACCAATTGTTAACCAGCATCCTCAATGTTATAGATATCTACAATACATCTTCAGTACTGACCTCTATGGTAGTGGATGAGATTACTGTGACCAATAACCAGCACATTAAATACAGAGAGCTACATAAACATGAAATAAAACCTTAAATGTATGCACTAACTGGACTTAAAGTTAACATTATTTATTTGCTCTAATAATACAAGACATCGAGAGAAACTTCAGTAGTTCTGCAGCATCAGATGGTCTGAGTTGTAGCAACTGCTGCTAGGTAGCTTTCCGTGCATTCAAACTAATTCAACACAAAAAGCAGCAAACATCTTTCATTCTTTCTTTCAAGTTACATTAAGCAAAAACTCTACAGCTACCTTCTCCGGTGTAGCATCAACTGCGGCTGTTTTTGACAGCGTCTCCATTGAACTGCAGCTACTCCAGTGAGTCTGCCTCGTTTGTGCTGAACCAGTCAAATATGCAAATGAAGCTGATGCTAGTTTAAAAAAAAAAAAACTACGGCAAAGCTCCTTTTACTAACAACTAGCAGTTTGCTAGCCGCCAGTTTCTTAAGCTGCCTGTGCTAACACGGGTTGTGAAAGAAAACATCACTGGCAAACCTCACAGTCCAGGGTTTCTGGGAGGTAGGAATGATTCATTGACCAGCCTGCTCCGTTACACACCGAGCACATCGACGTTAACATTATGTTTGGGACACAGCAAAATCGGTGCTACACGATAATTAAAACAAACGCATAAAGTTGGTTTACCGGAAATGTAGTCCTTTCCCCGCGGAGGTTCTGTAGTTTAGAAAGGCGAAGCTTCGGAATAGAACTACAATAACTCTGAGTCATCTGTGGGGGGCGGGAAGAAGCTTTGCAAGAGTTGCCGGGAGATTTATGCCAGTGTGGTATTTGGGAGACCTAAAAGGAGGTGGGTGGCATGTTTTGTGTTTTTTTTTTTCACGTTGTGGCTGATAGTGTAAGCAATAAACAGTTATTTAAGGTTTGTAGAGATATTATTTGTAGGTTTGGCTCAGCAAGTCCGGTTCATGTTAGTTATCGCGTTACTGCCTTGCACACATGGGTCTCTAGCACAAGTGAAAGCTAATTTGCCGTCTTCGCAGTAAATTACCGTTCAGTGACATGTTGCTGTTAGCTAAAGTTGCGACTTCACTTATACAGTATTAATTAGTTAGCACTAGCGCTCTGTAACACCGCGTATTATGTCGTAAAGTGTATTTTTCGGTGACCCAGATATTGTAAACATATATTTTTCACAGGGAAACCAGTGTGATTTTGTTGTTTTTTTTTTTCTTGTGGCTCACTGTTGATTAGTTAGTCCTGACTTTTTATGACGTAAATGTGTTTGCTGCGTTCATTCTCAGCGATTGATTCGTACAAATAGTTTGTTTACATAATTTGATGTTTTCCTGGAATGTTTAGTTTGAAGTTTAGATGTTAAAAGTATATGTTCAGGATTATATATGTGCATGTATTGTGTACAGGGGAAGACTTTTGCTGACCATCTGCCAGGTGTAATTTCCCACCTCACCATGTCCTCAGAAAACATCTTGTGAGTTTGTTTTAATTCTCACCCTAGTATTTATGTGTAGGTTGTGTGTCGTTAAGGCTCAATAAAATGCACATACACTGGTTCATAGTAATTGAATGTGTGAGCTGTATTTCTTTGTGTTTGCTGTTTTTCTAGGGATGATGAGGACACCTTCAAGATCCTGATAGCTACAGATGTTCACCTTGGTTACCTTGAGAAGGACGCTATCCGTGGCGGTGACTCCTACAGCACACTAAATGAAATCCTGAAATGTGCCAAAACAAATCAGGTACATGCAGGTTAAATTGGCAGATGTGGGATGATTTAATATTAAGTCAGATTCAACTATGTCTCTGTCTGCTTGCACTGACTTCCCTATGCCTGGCTGTTTTAAATACCCTCCGCTCTCGTTTTGCATATCTGTTGGTCTGCAGGTAGATTTCATCCTCCTGGGAGGTGATTTGTTCCACGAGAACAAGCCATCACGCCGATGCCTCCACAACTGCATATCCATGTTAAGGCAGTACTGTATGGGAGACTCGCCTGTACGCTTCAACATCCTCAGTGACCAGACCGTCAACTTCAACACAACCCAGTCAGTTCCTCTGTCTGTGTGGTCTTCCCTGCCAGTGCCATAATCATGCTGAATGAATGTTGTTACATATGTGTTGATGTGTTGTAGGTTCCCCTGGGTTAACTATCAGGATGAAAACCTGAACATCTCAATACCTGTGTTCAGCATTCATGGCAACCACGATGACCCAACTGGAGTGAGTTGCTTCGAGTATACGATGAATTATTGTATCAGAAACAACACCAAGATTTTTGTGTGTCTTGAGTCTGTGTATTTGCTGTAATTGTGTCTTTCCTCTCTCTCAAGGCCGAAGGTTTGTGTGCATTGGATCTGCTAGGTGCTTCTGGTCTTGTCAATCACTTTGGTCATTCCCACTCAGTGGAGAGGATAGAGATTAGTCCCATCCTCATGCAGAAAGGCAGCACCAAGCTGGCCTTATATGGTCTTGGTGAGTTTGTGTTTCATCATGTACTGGTAAATGTCCATTCCTACAATAATAATCTTTGTATTCTGCTAAGATTAAAAAAAAAAAAATGTTTTGTTTTAAAAATTTTTATGAATGTGTGTGAAGGTTCTATCCCAGATGAGCGCTTGTACAGGATGTTTGTCAACAACCAGGTAACCATGCTTCGTCCCAAAGAAGACCAAGACCAATGGTTTAACCTCTTCACCATCCACCAGAACAGGTGCAGTCATACATATATATCTTGTTGAAAAGTCCAATCCATTAGTTGGGCATAGCTGTAAATTATACCTGTATAAAACCTAAGTAAATTAATCTCAGAGCTGCTGTGCAGATGGTCGGTATGTTTTTAACAAATAAAGCTTTTTCAAGAGAGTGAATAATAGGTTTGCTTGTCGTGTTTTATTAAGTAACGTACACATTCCCTGTGCCCTTGATACTAATAAATATTTTAACACAGTATCTTTTTATTCTATAATATGTGTTTTTTTGTTTGTTTGTTTTGTTTTGTTTGATCTTTCCTGTCTGTGTGTTCTGTCTAGGAGTAAGCACGGTCCCACAAATTACATTCCTGAGCAGTTTCTGGATGAGTTTCTTGACCTGGTGGTCTGGGGTCACGAACATGAGTGTCTGATAACGCCGACCAGAAATGAACAACAACTCTTCCATGTGACGCAGCCTGGGAGCTCTGTCGCTACATCGCTGTCCCCTGGAGAGGCTACCGAGAAGTACGAATACACACAGACACACAGTGGATGTATTCTGAGTGTATTTTAAGGAGCAACAGTATTCAGACTATTCTGTTTGTGTTTGTCAAGGCACATCGGGCTGCTGAGGGTGAAAGGTCGCAAGATGAACCTGCAAAAGATCCCCCTAAAGACTGTGCGGCAGTTCTTCATTCAGGATGTTGTGCTGGCTGACCACCAAGACCTCTTCACACCTGATACACCTCAAGTCACAAAGAAGATTGAGAACTTCTGCTATGCAAAGGTAACACTCAGAGTGGCAATCAAGCATACAGCCATCTTGCACTTTTTGCCCCTAATCTGTCCCCTTATACACTTCTGTCTTTCTGTTTCTCAATTATGTAGGTCACAGAGATGTTAGAAGAAGCAGAAAGGGGAAGACTTGGATGTCCACTCACCCCAGAGAAACCACTAATTCGCCTGAGGGTGAGACGGGCAAGCTTATAGACTGTGCCGGCAGCGTTATATTGACATTTAAATCAAATGTATCCTTTCCTTTGTCTTCCCCAGGTGGACTACAGTGGAGGTTTTGAGGCATTTAACGTCGCTCGCTTCAGTCAGAAGTTTGTCGACCGCGTCGCCAACCCAAAAGACATCATTCACTTTCTCAGACGCCGTGAGCAAAAGGAGGACATCAAAGGTCTGACAGAGCTGTACACTACTAACCCAGTATTACATAAAGCTAAAAAATGTGTATCAAATATCCACTTGATGCGTTGGATAATGAATCATAATGCATCACCCATAAGTTTGTATAAATTCGTGCTAAATTCTCAAAGGCAAAAATCAAAAGTAGGACAGGACTGTATTTGAATGGTTTATTCCTGCATGTCATGGACGTTTCAGGCAGCTGTCTTCCTTCAGCATGTAAACTGGCCATCATGTTTTATTCATTGTGCTTTTTAGATGAAGTCAATGTTGACTATGGTAAGCTGGTAAAAACGACTGCTATTGAGGGGCTGAGAGTGGAGGACCTGGTCAAACAGTACTTTGAGGCAGCTGAACAGGTACATTATTACTAGAAACACATGCTACATGTGTACAGACCAGAAGATTATCAAACCACTTGTCTTTGTATTTTGTTCTAAGTGCACGTGTATGTCTTCGTAGAAGGTGCAGTTGTCCCTGCTGACTGAGCAGGGCATGGGAAAGGCCATTCAGGAGTTTGTAGACAAAGATGAGAAGGATGCCATCGAGGAGCTGATCACCTACCAGTTAGAGAAGACGCAACGGCATCTTCAGGCCAGAGGAGTAATCACAGAGCAGGATATAGATACAGAGGTAACAGAGTGTGGCACACACTGAAAGTGAAGTAATTGTTGATATTCTATTATTACAACATCATGTTGTTTTACTTTTAGGTCCGGCTATTTAGAGACTCCAAAAAGAACACGACAGAGGAAGAAAATGAAATCAAAGAAGTAAGTAGTGAATTCACGGTGGCCTGATACGCTCTGTCTATGTCATGTTTATCATATCTCTCTTTCTCAGGCCATGAACAGAGCCAAAGCTCACCGGCTGGAGCGAGGTGATGATGATGTTTTAGATGCGGCCATACTAGATGATTTTGCAACGCCCATGGACTCAGATGAAGGCTCAGATTCATTTCCTGCCCCTACACGAGGCAGAGGGCGAGGAGGCCGAGGACGGGGTAGCCGGGGGAGGGGGAGAGGTGAGAGTCTTAAATTAATCCTCTACAGCTTTATTCAAGAATGTAGGTTTGGTTCCAGGAAATGACTCGAGGTAAATACATATGTATTTATGTATCACATTCATAAATTGCCGAGTGGCAGGTTACGCCAAACATACTCATGTACAGTGTCTGCCTATCAGACTATTGTGTAAGAGCGATACAGAAATACAGTTGATATCACATAAAGACCAACAAGGATGATGTAGCAGTACAGAAAAGCAAAGTATACAATATTTTTGTGCAGTTATTCCATCATAAGTCCTTGGTTTATGTTGTCTCTCTCTCCATCCAGGTGCAGCTGCCTCTGAACCAAAGCCAGCCGGTCGGGGTCGTTCCCAGAAATCCTCAACAGCAACCCAAAGCAGAAGCATTATGCAGGGTAGGGTATTGTGAAATTTTGTGCATTTTGTGTAACAATCCATAGACACACATATTTTGTACTGTAGCCAGACAAAGAATGCACATAAATCTTACTCTACTTCCCCTTTCACTCCCCTGTACTCCTTTCTTCCCTCTACTTTACATTCGCTTCCAGCATTTCAAGCTTCATCGCAGAGACCTTCTCGGAAAGCAGCCACCACATCTTACACAGCCGATGCGGTAAGTTAAAGGTTAAATGAGAATACACACATAACCACACATGCCTTTTTTTCATCTTTACACAAACTGCGTCATCCTTTAATGTTGGGTTTCATCTTTATCCATCTTCAGATGAGCATTGAGGACTCAGATGAAGATACACCTGTATTGAAAACTACCCGGCCCCCTCCAAAGTATGTTTGTTTATGTCTACAGCGTGGTGGTCCACTGTTTTAAGAGCAAAAAATGTAGCAACAAGACAATCTCCATTCTGTGCATAGTATGTGTAAATAGACACACAAAGCATATTTATCTTTTTCTCCCTCTTTGCTTTAAATTTCTATTTTAAAGCTGTTACTGATTTGGTTCTTGTTCTTGTTTTGCCTCCCACAGACCAGCGTCGTCATCGGCATCCTTCTCTAAGTACAGCTCTCAGAGCCAGAGCCAGTCATCTAGAGGAATTGCATTTGATGACAGTGATGATGAGGAGGAGGTAAAAAGCGATTAGAGAAATGATGTAGCATGAATATAGAGTGCAAGGATGCAGTCTCCCCCCCCCCCCCCCCCCCCCCCCCCCCACTGGGAAAACATGACTACACCTGTAAAGTGGAATTATACTATTCTGGAGAAAATAAAACTGATTTGAACTTAAACTGCAATACAGGCAATATATAATCCTCTTGCCAGTGTCACTAAACTGTTTTATATTTTCTTGCCAAAAAGGAACTTGCTTCCAATAGATTTTATTAACTTTTCTGTTGTCCCTCCCCCCTTTATCTTTTGTTTTTCTTACAGGATAACCCTTTCAAAGGCCGCAGCCATCGTTCCCGGAGATAACCACAAGTGCATCTATTATATAACGTGTGTTAATGTTGTTGATTTTTAACAAATCGCTGTTAATACTTATTAGCAAGTGAGCTCTGAAGGACTTAAGATGCATGTTTCAATGTTCTCTGCACTCAGTCTTCCTAATGGTGACATAAATAATTAGGTTGGTCAGCAAGTGTTTGTTGCTGAGAGTAAAACCATCCAATCAGTCTGTTTTCTGGTGAAAGGGCTAAGCTAAGTGCTACCGGGGGCAAAGTAGAGAAAAGATTTATGAGTGATATCCAAAGTTTTCACAACCTCATTTGCTGGCCACCACTTGGACCTATTAACTGGTGAAGTGCATCCGCTTCTGACTGTTGTTGGGTTTTGTCATGAGCTTTTGTAGTTCAGGAAATAAATGTTTTTTCATTTATATAATCACTTGTGTCTGTTTTTGAATTATGATCTTTGCCTCCCTCTGCAGCTGTGAAGTCACACAAATACCCTGGTGCTGTGCTCAGAAGTTAAGGTAAAAAACCAAAACAAATCTGAAAGGGCTTACAAAGCAATACATCATCAAATGTTAACAAAGATGGTATTTCTCTCACCCCACTTTGTATTGGTCTTCTGTTCCAGTTTTTACACTTCTTCCCCCCACTTAACAGCAAATTTGTTGATCATAATGGTTGTGTTATACAATATTTTAGGGGCCCCAAGGATCAATGATAAATTGCAAGAGTGGGCAAGATGATCCTCTGCAGAAGTTTAATTTAGAAATGTAAAGTGTATTATGTGAATGTTAAAGACCAAAGACACCAGTGGTAGAATGCAACTCTGTCAATGAAGTACAAGTCTGAGGTACTTGTGCTTGAATATTTCTCTTTTATGTAACTTTATTCTTCTGTGTCATACAATCACAGACACCAATATTGTACTTTTAACTCCACTGCATTTATCTGACAGCATTCCTACTTACATTTTGCATTAGAATTTTTCGTCCCTTTCCTGTCCTGTGAAAACTGTATCTCCTCATGTGTGATTTTTGCATGTTTGTGATATACTGAAGTGTTCCTTTATGGGTTGAGAAAATTGTTCTTAATTAGGCACTTGGATCAGCTAGAAAATATTGTAACAGAGATGGAAGCAGGATTGTTGCAACATAGGTATTAATGCGGCTGTAATATTAATCTAAAAACATGCGTATAATACAACAATAAAACACTGACAAGGAGAATGATTACTTTTGATAGTTTAAGTACATTTTGCTGATAGTGCTATATCTAGTAGTAAGTTAGTCTTTAGAGGATGGATTCGTGCAGTGTTTTCATGGTGTGGTATCAGTATTTTTACTAAAGTAAAGGATCTGAATACTTCTTCCATCAGAGCTGGTCACACACTGAAATTTGTATCCTTCCACCACATGGGGGCGATATAATACAGTCCAGGGCATATGATAATAGCATAATGTCAAACTTTAATCAAAATGAAGATCTGGTCAAAATTCAACAGAATAAAAGATATCTGATATATCTTTCAGACTTTCTTTTTAGGGTACCCATTTATTTTTTTATCAAGTGAATCAGATGACTGCTTAACTTCCTTTAACAGTTCTGTGTCATTTGAAATGTGAGACTGGCATCATCTTTTGTTCCCAATTTATATAACGATTTACATAAACTTTCTTCCCCGTTGTTCCTATTGTTAACTTTGGGTCAGAGGATGTGTGCCTGGAAGGAGGATGACCCCGAATGAAACGAGGTAAGATTCAATTTCCAGTAGGCTTGGAAAGGATAAAACGATTGCTCCAGTTAAAAGAATGTCTTTATTACATGTACAAACTATTTACAGGTTTTCCTGATGACACAGAATCCACACAGACATATTTACAAGTATATAAAACTCGACAAAACATACCATATATACAGTCGCATGTTATTAGCCACCATAATATTTTAACCATTATTTTGTTATTTCCAGCATTTCGTGTAGGTTTCTGTAGATCAGAGAATAATAAATAAACAAATGCAGGTTGATGTATTATTATGCTTTGCTAAAACTGGAGGGATGGCTTTAAAATAAAGAAATAATTGTAGAATTTTGGCTGAATGCACAGATTTGACAAATTTACTTGCTGTGAATGTAACAAAAATACTTTCACTTTAAAATTTTGGAGAAATTTCATATCTTCTTCTTTTTAGCTGTTAAGGCAAAGACTCCACCATTCTGAATATCGTGGCTGCTATGTAAGTACTGCAAAGGCACACTTGATCTGCAACTACACAAACTCAGTGTTGATGCACTATTAACTCACAACAGCGTGGTAGACATTTTTGTATGTAGTGCATTATTTATTTTAGTTACTTGAAATACCTGCACATACAGTAAGGTCAAGTAATTCTCACTTTCCACTTAAAGTGCTCATGTGAATCATTCTGTTACAGGCAGTAAGCATACTGTCTGTGCTGTTAAAAAAAAAAAAGAAAAAAGGTGCATTTGCCCTTTAACAGGCTTAATAGATTCTGTTTAACTAAATCAGCACCATAAATACAATAAGCTCCCAGACTTGGTGTCGCTTTAATGACAGTGTTGATATAAACCTGAGGCTTCACACTGACTCCTAATGACACCTTTCTTTACATAGCAGTGTACCATGTGAACCCTCATAATTGCACACCTAAAAAAAAAATCATAGCACGTAGTAGTCAAGTACTTGTCTGGGGTGTCCCAGGCTGGCAAAGTCTAAAATCTTCACAGAGCAGTTTTTATAATAATTGATGTCTTTGTGACAGTGGATTCAAATAGATAAAATATTCAGTTTTTTGATATTTTTGTTAAAAAAAAAAACAAAACAAAACAAAAAAACAAACCAATATGATCCACATCTTTGCAGTATCTTGTAAAAGTTAAAAAACGTGTTTGTTTGAGTTTTCTGCAATGAAGACCTCAGACTGGCCATTGACAGACATCTACATATAGAATTATACTTGTCCCCTGAGAATGTGAAATGGCACAAACAACACCTGAAATATGTTTGGATGAAATGAGTATATGTGTGTGTCTGTGTGTGTATGTGTGCGTGTGTGTTTGTGTCTATGCATATGGCTGTGTTTGACAATCCATCTGCTTTTGCTGCTCAGATTTTCAACTTCCTCTTTCTCTCGGTCCATTTCTCGTTTTCACCGTTAGGCAGCCACACCGAAACAAGCAGCTTTCTGTTAGTTTCACAGTCTGTCCGAGGTCAACTGGTCCTGTCTTGGTGACTGTTTGTCCCAGTGGGATGTCATCAAGGGTTTTTCTGAAGAAATGGATCAGAGGGTTAGTCTGTATCTATGGACGTTCTTACTTTGTTTCATTTTTCATCCAAGGGGATGAAGGGAAAGTGGGAAACCAAGTCTGAGCAGTAATTGTGAAGCATATTTTTAGTATGCTTCATGTTAACAATTACCTTCTAGGACTATAGCCAGCAAGTGGAAAACATTATGTAGTAATGGGATTTACTCTGATTATTTTAAAAAAAAAAACATCTTCAGGTAGGAGCTTCCTCAAAGTTTTTCTGGAGATCACATTCTTCCTGTTGGTTTATTTTAAACGGAGCAAACACTATCCTCTTTAAAGATTGTGTGGTATCGTTGACAGCTACTGGAAAAGCTAAAAGTTTGAGCTTTTGATACAGAAAAGTAGCATTTTCTTTATGTGGTACCTCCATGACTGTCTGAATCCAATTGAGCATCTCTTCCACGTGGCAGTAGACCCCTGGCCTTCCCTCTCGGGCACAGCCGACCCCCCAACTCACCACTCCCACCAATCTCCACTGAGATGAGGACAAGTGCACTAAAGGACCCCCACTGTCGCCCTGAAGTTTAACACATTACAAAAAAAACAGATATTTTAATATGCAAATGATTTTCCAGAGGAGAACATTAGTATCGGATGACATACACATACACCTGTGTGGACTGTAACTGGACTTAGAGGTGTGTTACCTGACAGGCATCCACTTTTCCCTCTAGGAAACCAGCACAAATCATATTTCGTGTTATGGAACTGCCGTAGACTGCGGGGCTGGAACACACACTCCGGTCTATCAGAGGGATTTGGGCCTTTTGCAGTGAGGGAGAAACTTTACCTGATGGAGTAACAAGGACACGGCATTTAAATGAAAGGAGCAACCTCAAAAGATGAAAGAAATCTGTCTTCATGTTCTCAAGGCAGCAGCTGGTAATGATCAGAGGTGGTGTGTGTGTGTTTCTTACCATCTTCCTCGAGGTAACCCCAGCCTGTCACAGCCATGTTGGCTCCGGCAGCAAGGCCAAAAGCTTTAGGGGGGAGACAGACTGGCTTGCGGTTCTCTGGAAGACAAGCATGGATTATGAGAAGTGTAGATATTATTTGCTGTTTGGCAATTCAGATGTATAGTTAAAGTAAAAGAAAAAAACAAACAAAAAAAACAGATTACAATAGTTTGATATTTGACATATAGCTCACTGGAGGGCAGCAGAGTAAAGTTTACTGATCACATGACCCTATGAAAATCTTTCCGGTTTAAATTTGAACTACACACTCTGCCAGGTTAGTTAACTAATGTTCCAATCAGTACGGTGCAACGTGTTCTTATGAGTATTACATTCACCTCCCACTGTGATTGGGCTGCTGAGTCTCATCAGTGCAATGTCGTAGTCGTTCTGTGCTGGATTGTAGTCTCCGTTCACTATGATCCTGTCCACGTACGAACCTCCCACTGTGGTCATGTATGTCCGACCTGACACTACTCTCCACCGACTCAGCGCCTTCTTACTGCTGCAAGGACCCAAAAGAAGAGAGCAAGGGGGAAGTGGGATCATGAGTTTATGTGTCGGCAGATCAAGACAAAGAAAAATTAATTGGAAATTATGTGTAAGCATACTGACCCAGAAAAGCAGTGGGCGGCAGTGACTACCCAGCGAGGTGACACCAGTGAGCCTCCACATGTGTGCTGTCCGCCTTGCTGCAGGCTGACCTGCCAGGGCCAGTCTTCAATCAAAGCATCCGTGCCCCCGACAATACGTTCAGAAGACCCAAGCCGTCCACAGTCTGGTACACAAAATGATTTGGTCATTGTTTCCCTGTGTATCACATCAAGCTAACTTATGTTTTCTATCTTCGCTGATCTTGATGCTGTATTTCAACAGTTTTCTTCCGCAAACTCTTGCTTTTGATTTGTTGTACAGAGCGAAGGAAGCTGCTCTGTCACATGTTGCTAAGAAAAGAGTTGTGCTGCTCACTGTGGACATGTTGGGGCCTGTCGGTGTGAAACTCATCACACAAACATGTCATGTTCCACTCACCAACCATGAACCCTACACGGCCTTGCTACAGCTGTAAACAATGTTAGTGACGATGGTTGCTGTTCTAAAAATAAAACTCACCAGAACAGGACAATGATATCACAGATCCAGATCTGCATACGCTGCTGTGGGAGGGAGGAGGAAAAAAAAAAGACCATCATTAAATATTTAGGAGCTACTCATGTACCACAAATGCCCACGTAATTTGTCAAACAGGCTAAATACACAGTCAACTGTTGACTTAGCTTCACCAAGTTGCTGACCTGTGTTTCTATTCTGATTTGAGTAAAGTACCTGTTTGTTTTGTTCACTTTCATAAAGGACTAGCTAAAGAGGAAACAAAAACTGGGGATTTTTTTGATACTTTTAGGAATAGAAACTATGAGAGCTGTCTCATATACAAGTCATGCAGGAGGGGGAGGACAGCAAACAGAAAGAGAGTAGAAGTAAAGCTTTTCCCTGCAGTTGTATGGATTGGAGCTGATAGAAATATAAATATGAATAGGAGGTTGAGAGAAGTGAATAATATGCTGTCTTTTCCGTTGAGTGTGGAAGCAGCTGTCAGCTGTCAACAGCTGCACCTCGATACCAAAAATATTTGCATAACAAGTGACACTGCAAAAGTTTCCTAAAAAGCCCTTTTTAAATCACTTCTCATCTGTGCAGCAACGGCAAAAAAAATCCAGTCTTGTTACTTACCGGTCGATTGTAGCCTGATGTATGGGTGTGCTTGCTGTTCCAGACCTGACAGCTGTGAATGGTCCGATTTTCAGGGATGACACTAAAGTATCTACTCGGACATTTGTGCTCTGAGGTTTACTGTAAAGACAGATAGGGGGCTGATGTTAGACTTTATTTCACGCCAGTCTCACATTTTCATTTCTAGTTGGTGTGAACTCACTTTGTGTACCCTAGTTGTTTACATGCTGTCTCTGTGTGCTGCGTTGTCCACTCGTCACTACAGACACTCCGCCAGCCTGAGCCGCGACTGTAAACCTGGAGAACATTCCGACTCGACGTGAGACGCACTGGAAGGAGGAGCAGCACAGAGCGGAAGGGGAGTCAGTTTTCAAACTTGTTTTTTTTTGTTTTTTTGGCTGATGACAAAGCGAGAAAGAGTCAGGTGTTTGTTCTACCTGGAAATGTAGTGTTGACTGTAAAGCTTGACACACAAGTAATTTCATCTTCTGCTCCAGCACAGTCATCCTTCCCATCACAGGCTTGGTCTATGGGGATGAACCTCACTGAGCGTTTGCAGAAGAAGTATTTGCTGTCAACCAACACCTTAACTAGAGGAGAAAAAGAGTGGCACATGGGAGGAGTGGGGCAGAAAATGAGTTTGGCTTGGTTGATTTGACATACACTAAATCCTATTGCTGCTGTAGATGCTGTACGTGTGTGTCCTTGGAGGAGGAAATTGTTACTCACTGAAGTATCCTGCGGTGACCAGTATGCCCAGTAACACCACAACTGTCAGGATAGTCAGTAACGCCTTCTTCCAGTTGCACGTCTTGTGTTTCGGAGTCTTTGGAGCCGTCATGGGTTTTCTGTGGCGGCCTGGCCGTGGAACTGCAGGGTACAAATAGAGAGGGGGAAAAAAAGACAGGGCAAAATGAGAGAGAGAAACATGATGAAGGCAGTGACAGGGAAACGAGACGACGGAACTGAAACCACAGAGCAAAAGAGGATAGAAGGATAGAGAAAATTAGTCACAAAGAAAAAAAGCAGTGTGTACTGAATGTGCTGCAAGTTCTCAGTACTACCAAACACCACATGTTCCAAGTACCTAGTCTACTATACAGGAAAATCTCCCTTCAGGGCAGCCATATGTATTCACCAGACACCATCACCAGCTCATAGTTTACCTGGCGGCCTGGGATTTAAAGGTCTGGAGCTTTCTTCAGCCGCCTGAACAGTCGTCTGAGGGCAGAATAACAGAGACATAAGATACGGTGAGCACAGGTGTTGGTCCAACAGAGTGCACAGCTTCACAGAGGAAATGTGTGGATCCAGGAGGAGGTGTAGATTTGTGCAATTTTTTGTGTAAGCATTCCATGTAATTATCTGAGCTTAAAGGATCTCTTTGCACGTGGCTTTTGTTGTGTTTGCGTCCAGGGGATTGTTCAAACGTGTGTGATCATAAATGGCAGTTATTTGTCCTAAAATACTTCAAAATATAGTGTCGCAACTCAGCTCAAGGCTGGACAAACGAGGGGAGACCACACGAGTTGTAACTAAAAATAAGAGAATGAACCTAAATACAAATAAAGCATAACACTAACACAGTGGAAGCCAATTTGGCAAACACATAAAAAACACACAATTCCAACCTATTATTGATCAAACATTCATTGTCACAGGAGTAGCAGCAACACAGAGCGAACCAGGCCAAATCACCACACAAATTAAACGTTATCTTACCAACATGGTTAATTTGAGTCTCGAATGAGCCCCGAGTTTGTCGCAATCCAAAGTCGGACAACGGAGGGAAGGCTACGCGTTAATTTTAACTAAAAATGAATGTATTTTACAGAAATTAAAAGACAGCTAACTGAGGTGCAAACAAACCATAACCCAAACTAAATGGGAGGTGGAGCCAGACCAGGTGAGCTGAATCACCATGACGGTGCGTCGCCACCCAGCAGACTCCTGTAGAGATAACTGCCTAGAGGGTCTTCACAAGCGAAAATGTGAGCCATGTGTAAATAAAGGTGTATAATATAATGCGTATCCAGGGGAGGAGCCACATTAGATTACCAAGCATGCACACATGGGACATAGTGTGCCACCATGAGCTGTCATGTTATACCCATGTTCTTCTCTGGATGTATGAGACCCTCCATATGCTGCAGGCAGTTCCCACAATGTGTTATCTCACACATCCTAAACCCACCATGAAACTGATAGCATACACTGATAGTGACTGATAGTATACAGTGTAGAGGATGGTGGGGCGTAGCGTGGTGGGGTCTACTGGGACCCAGACAGTCTTCAATGCAATTCAAATGCAACTGACATTGTAGACATAGAACACACTGTAACATTGCAGGGTGGGGATAGAGATTGGTGGCCACCCTTCAACCATGGGAGCCTCATGTGTCCTTGAGCAAGATATCAGCTGTATGACAGTTACATAATCACAGACAGATTGTTTCAGTCTGTATTATGTGAAGAGGAAAAATGACACAATAACCGCCAGTAGTTATATTCCAATAAGTCAGCTGCATCATCCATAGTTACGTCATGTTTATGTTCTTTGTTATTAATCATCGTAACATCTTGACTTTCAGATTGGGAACTATGTCTGAATGACTCAGCCCATAATGGTGGACAGCCTTCAAACTGCAGGATGCTCAAGGTAGCAGCAGCAGATCGCATTTTTCACTGTTTGTCCACATACTATAGAGTCACTACTCACCGATGACCACTTGAGCACAAACAACTTGTGAATCATTCATAAATTATTTTAAATACATTGCTTAAAAACTCATATTAATTTTAGACTTGCACATTTTAGTTTGGATTCCTGCAATGTATGAAAGTTGTATAAATATTATCATTATTATATATCTGGAAACACTTACAGTCATTAAGTTGCTAAAATATAAGAAGACTGTTTCTTTAATGCCTCTTTTTCCCTAACTATGTGGCTAAATATGTGTGGGAATATGGAGCCTACAGAGCTGGCTGGGCGGGTTAATTAAACCTACAAAAAGCTCATTTTTTGGTCCCTTGGGGTCAGTTAAAGGTTGTACTTGCAACATTAAGCTATTCTATCTTCAAAGTCAGTATGGCAAATTTGCTAATAACCACTTTCTTATTTAACTACACGTCCAGCAGTTATAAAGTAACATTTTAATTCATTTGACATCATTTTTATAGCCACCTGGGTGGTGTCACAATATTCCCTTTATATTCTTTTTATAGCTCAATCTTTGGACTCCACTGACATCCAGTGAGAACATGGGTGGTAAATACTCACCGACTTATAGCTAACTTTAGCATTTAGTGCTGAGCTGGTTGTATATACTGGGTTGGAGCTTTGCCACTGGAGAAAGCTGCATTCTGCTGCCACAAACTTGCTATAAAGCTCAGTAAAGCTGAGTAGATTTGCAGATTTAGGTGATAAGTATTTGAAGGTTAATTACTGTGAGACTTGGCACTGACACATTGTTCTTGTATTGTAATTTCATGCACTCTTTAAAAAATTATATATAATTATTGCCAATTAAATCTAATGAGTCAGGCGACATTAGCTAATTTTGCTGCTGAATAATTGGTACAACATTCACTTTTTCAATCCATCAGATACATTGAGTGGACTCCAGTTATACTTTCCAGTTACTCAGGGTTTTCTAAACCAAAGCCTAAGTGCCTAAGCCAAAAAAAGAGAAAAAAAAAATACTATACTGAGTGTACAAATGTGTCCCATAAGGTGGGACCCATTTTGCATCTAGTTCTGTGTTGGTAAAATACTCAGCTTTGTTAAGCTCCGTGGCCAGCAAATCCCTTGATTAACCTGTTAAGTCTCTTTTCTCTTTGTCTGTCACTGCAGGCTTCGGCACAGAAGACTGATGTATACAAAAGCCTGACAAAAGTTGCAGACTGGCCTGTATGTTGCTAAGCCAGCCAAACAAAGGTACTCATAAGATCTTATAAGTCCTTGAATATATAAAATATTCAGTGTATTAAAATAAGAACTTATGTCCTTATAACTTGACGAGTGCTTGGCCTCAGACATGTGAGCTTCTGTGACCCACACAGCTGTGCAACAATAAGTTTGTCTTCAGGTTACATTACATACACAGTGCATTTGATTTGTTTAATTGATAGCGACTTGATGATAAGGTAGCATTTTCCTCTGTGTTATTTTTTACTGTGTCTTCTGCAGCTGCAGCACAAAGTCAGTTGGAAGCAAACAACTTTCTCTCTCCAGGCAAAAGGAAAAATGAGCCAAAGAAGGTGAGTGAACATCACAGAACAGTGGGAAAATCTGTGGTGGTAGCCTTTAACATAGTAGAAGCTCCATGGTTTAGGCTTTGTAGTTAATTATTGTCATTTCTATTGACATGAGCAGTGTATGGTTGGCCCATAAATGACAATTAAAATGACCAGTTTGATTAATTTGAGTAGAAGAATTTAGATTGATAATATCGAGTTCCATCTTTATTGTATAACAGTTGAAATTTCTGTCGTTACTCTTTCAGACTGTTTAAAAGCTGACCTCTAATTCCTGATAATCATCATCTCAACAACACATTCACACGCCCACAATTTAAACTGTAGTTATTCAGTTCAAACTCCTTGGTGCACAAACAACGGTCATGTGTGCTGTTGCACTTTCACTTCTTGTATTTTACTTTAAGCGCATGTACAATAACCAGCAGATAGTCTGTGTGCTGCTGTTCAGCAAAGGTCAATACAGTTCCTACTGTAGTGTTATAGCTCAAGTATCACATGAATGTGGCTGCTGACTGGCCTATTAGAAGGTTTCAACACATGGTATATAGTTACAGTGACAGTTTGAAAAGCACTTTCGTTTGCCTGCTGTTCTTCCTCCTGTCTTTTAATTCACTGTTTAAACGACAAGCACACAAAGTGTATGCGTCAGGTGATACTTTCTTTGATTAAGAAGACATCTAGTGGAGTATCCCCAATGACCAAATGAGGAATTTCCAGAACCTTAGCAAAACTAAACAAGCAAAGTGGGAACAACTTTGTTCTCTGTTTCTCACTTCTGCTTATTTTCAGTGCAGACGTTCGAGGTAAATCCCCTCCAGTGCATAGCTATTTGCTACCAGGCTTTCTCTGCTGTCATTACTCTGGTTAAGGAAAGTGCTAAAAAAAAAAAAAAAAACTGAAGCAGGAGAAGTATAAAAATTTCTCTCTAAAATTAAGGACTGCTGCTTTTTGTCTGCAGTCAGGCTGTCAGTCAAAGAAATGCAAGAAACTGGAAAACGTGTATAAACCCCATACAGAAAAATGGCCAAAGAATGCTGTCGGGCAGGTTTTGTTGTTGTTGTTTTTTAAAAAGGAGCTCACTATCTGGTATGAAACTTTGCTGGCCATTAGTGTTTTTCCGGGGACGCTCTTATATAAGACAGCATTCATGACAACTTGAAGCATAAAAGCTGAATACGTCAAAGAACGAGGCACCGTGTTCTTTATCCTATATGCCAACCCATTAAATCTTTCTCAGATTTCTTCTTACATTGAAACAGGGAACGTTTCACTTTTGTGCATCAGGCCTTGCAGCACTTTTTGTGTGTAACATGAGAATTGCACTCATTTACAGTAAAGATGCTATTTTGTCCATATAATTAGTTTACAGCCATATTCTTTTCTTTTTATGTAATTGGATGTAATTTGATTACTGAATTTCTCCAAAAGATTGAAGAGTCACCCATATTGCTGGAGTTAAATATTTATTGTATGTAAAGTGATGAGTTTTTCCCTCACTTTGCATATGAAGTCGACAATTATCAGAGTTTTAAAAAAAACTGTAAAGTGCCAATAAAAACGAAATTTTAACAGATACTAGTTGATAAAATTTCTGTTGTGAGGAAATGGTTGCAGAAACTCATTCACCACCACCTGAAAGTGTATAGTATGAGTGGAATAAGTCAGACGAGATGAACAACAAAGCGAGTGGGTCCTACAACCTGGGAAACCAGAAAGATGGCTGAAGGAAGTCATGCTGCCTGCAGTTGACAAACACATTCCCGAAAATACAAGTTCTGCTTTGTCATACCATGATGAGGACTGTGTGTACCTGGAAACACATTTGTTGTCATTGGTACCATGATTAATCATTTTATGAGCCAGAACAATATTTCAAAACAGGCAGGTGGCATTAACCAATCACATGTCTAACCTGAATAAAATAAAGAGTTTTGACTTGCCTTTGCTGTAACTGCTAACCGGTTTATTTTTGAGTCATTCTGACCCATGCAGCGGACCCAAGGCAGTTAACCCAGTGTTAGTGGGAACTATTCCAGCTACAGTGAGCAAGACATAACTAGGTCAGCCTTAGCAGATAAAAGCCTTGACATGGTTAGTCCTTTTGTTCCCACAAGGTATTCCCATTGCTGCTTCTCAGCTTTGTTGGATTATGTTGCCTTAAACCAAAACGTTAACAAAAAGGGCTTTTGAGAGACTACGCGTGACACGTTGGATGAACCTTAATCAAGAGCGGAGATCTAGACCACTGTTGTCCGCACATGTTTAAATATTTAGGGGCCCTTACAAGAGCATGTGCATCTAAATGGGAGGATGCTCTGGTAAGTGGTGAGGTGTTGTATGCTGCCCTCATTAACACAAGCGAGGACGTATCAAGTACCGACTCAGTAACGATGATGATAAATGACTGATTTATGGTGATATGAGCTGATATGTACAGAGTCAAAACAATAGAGAAAAACATGTTTTGCTAAAAACATCAAAATAAGCAACCGTACGGAGGGACAAAGGTCTGCACAGGGAAAGCTTGGCAAAGTGAGATCACAGTTTAGTGATTTGGAATTGGTTCCAATGTCCAAAGTTGAATAAACATCAAAGTAGTATACAATGAAAGATATGCAGGCAACTTAGATAAACATGAGAAACACGAAAAACCTTTTCTACCATCTGAAAAATCACCACATATCCAAATAAAGCCTAAAGTCTTTGGCCCCAAACTACGTACAGCCTGGGAACAAGCCTCTTGTAGTAACATTAGTTCAGGAACTGTTGTTTGTATTAACTGTTGTTTGGGGTACTAAGCCATTACTTCTCTGTAATAGTAAGTAGACCTACAATTGTTTGACTAAATCAGTACATAGTTTGTTATTTATCTATTTTTTCAAAATGGAAAAGGCAATATGTAGTTTATTTATCTATTTTTCCATAATTACAACTCCCATCACCGTGATGCTATAGCATTGCATGCTGATCTTTTTTGTGATGTTGATTGAAAAACATTGTTGCTGTTGCCTTGTTGAAGCGATAAATGTTATAGCGTGTTGATTGCAGAGAGAAAGAAGCTATTGATTTAAAAATAAATTATACTTAGAACCATACCAAAACCTTACTGGAATATCATAAAATCAAACCTAAATGTATCCTTGTAAACAGACAACTTATATTTAAATTCACTGCTACTCACCAAAGCACATTCAGTCTATCCTTGAAGTCTAACAAATATGCTGATAGTTTTTTGTCTCAATGTTGACAATAAATGTGTCCCGTAATAACTACCAATATCAATCAATATGAAAAAAATAAAACGCACAGCCATACTAATGACTGTCACCAAAACTATGACCATACAAAGCTACCGTGCCCGAAACTGCTACTGATCACCTTTAATAGGGTC